GTGGAATGTATGGTGCTTATCACAGTCCTATTTAGTAATGTCCCCTGGGAGTTACTATTCCGAATTACCAACCAAATTGTACGGGGTTGGAAATGGGGATCAAAACATTTAGACTCTCCTGATATTGGCTTGCACACACTATAATCAATATCCAAATATCTACATTTAGATACAGATCCCTTACATTCATACTGTGAGTGCCAGATGAGAGTTTGGGATATTTGGTTACCTGTTTTAGTAGTCTTAATGCAACTATCGCAATTCGGTATGTCTGTACTCCTACCTTCCTGAAAAATCATAAAAATACTAAGACACAATAAAACACATTATTCCTGAAATCCTCATTTTTCTTCGACCGTGCGATGGCCTCTCAGCTTCCCGATTGTGAGGGCTGCAAGGATGTTGTTCTTCTGATCCTCACTTTCCTTCACAGAGATCCCTTCAAGATACTCTGGCTATGACACGTAGGCAGGTGGTCAGGCTTTATTATGGCCGTCAAAACACCTACTTGATGATCTTTGTAGACTTTTAACTAGAATGTCTCGATATCCCCTCGTCACTCCGACTGAGTTGCACGCTTCAACCGGGTCCTGCAAGGATTCTCAGGATCTGGAGTAGTTTGCCAAGAGTCTGCTGCTGGTTTAACCTTAGAATGATGAATCCAAGGAGTCACTTCCGCCACCTTTACAGCTGTTGGGGTAGATAAAAGAACAACATACAAAGGCTAACAGGATACACCCCGAGCTTTAACTCAATATGTATTGGTGGGATATTACGAGCAAGTCCTGGAGGATTATTTTCTTCCCATACTCCTGGAATGTCAAATAAGGATTCATCACTCTTAGGGTTAACACTTGTCACTATGGAATAGAAGCGTCATTCTTCTTCCCTTGGCACCGATATTACCATTATGCCTGGTAATCCCTTAAACTTCAGAGATGTTAATCCATTAGGTAAAAGGTTATCTGAGCTTAAAGCTTCGATAATAGATCTCGTCCTAAAAGTTGAATCGGACACTCTGGCATATATAGGAACTAATGCTTCACCACATGGCCTCCCAGAATACAAGTGCGACTCTTAAGAACCGGTCTAGCTGCACTTCTCCCAGTAGCTCCTATCACAGTTATAGTCTTCCCCGAAGGCGGAGCCACCATCTTAGTCACCACAGAATGTTCAGCACCTGTGTCGATCATGAAAGAACTTCTCTTTCCCCCTATTGCTACATCGACCATAGGCTCCGCTCGACCAAGTGGGATGGAGCCCAGTCGGTATCAATAGTCTTCCATGATAGTATCAGCCAGACCCGCAAAATCTCTATCCTCTCTTTCTCTAGGTCTCTGCGTGGGTGGATAGTATCTGTCTCCTTGAACACTTCCTCTACTATTCCCACCATTCCCTCTAAAACTTCCTCTTCCTCTATAACTACCACTATAACCTCCTCGTACCCTTCTCTCTCCTGTCTATCACCTTCATACTACTCTCTCTGTGGACACTCACTCTTCCAATGTCCCTCCTTTCTACAATACGCACATTAATTCCTACTTAAAGTCCCTTGCTCAGCCTATTCTCGTCTCCTCTATTCACTTCCCTGTCTTTCTACACTTAAGATAGCTACCGCTAGCATATCTGCCTTTTTCCTCATTTTACGTTCTTCCTCCATCTCCCTATTCATATATACTGTATTTGCAATCTCCATTAGCTGTATTATGGACATCCCTACAAATCCCTCTAATTTCTGTAATTTCCTTTTACTATCACCTTGGGCCTGGCTGACAAATGCTGAGTCTATCATTCGGAAGTTTTCAGGGGCCTCTGGATTAAAGGGAGTATACAACCTATTTGACTCAAGCAGTGTCTAATATGGGACTTCGGCAAGGCTGCCCAATAATAGGTTCCAGTCTAGGAGTAGTAAGATAAGTGTAAGGGGGTGAGCTAATTTTATTAGTCAGCATTTGGTGGATGAAAAAACGTTTTTTTTTTAAAGTGTTAAACCAAAAACCTACCAGTAGGTGTCACCAGAGGGTAATTGTATCAAAATAATCTTTATGGGTCTAATAAGAAAACTCAACTTTTAATATATTTATACATAAAATAAAACCTTATAGCAATAAATATATTAAAATAGGGTAAGCAATCCTACATCTATCTGTTATAAACAATGTATTATCAATGTAACTCCCGAAGATGGCCAGTAGGTGGCTTAGAGTGCCTCCCTAAAGTCAAATGAAACAAATAGACTTTAATTAATTATGTCCTATTTTATTATTACTTATTTTAATCAATGTCCACCCTGATATCTAGGCTTGATTAAATCTTTAGTTCTAAGGTAAATTAAACATTTCAGTTTGTAGTTTAGTAAAAGGGGACATTTTGGACAAAGCTGGGAGGGGCCCATCCAGTAACTAAAATAAAGACCATATACCATCTGATACCATTGATCATTGATTAGGGGGAGGGGTAGTACAGAAATACAAGAGTTTGAAACACAGGAACAGATAGGTATGTGGGTAGGCGGGGACAGTAGAGCAGGGGGAGTGCAAATACTGACTATATACCAGTTTTGGGAGTAAGAAATGGGCGTGGCTACTCTGGCTCTGGAGGATGTTTGGGGGGTTGGTAATCAGATGCCAGGGGGGGAGGGGATGTCCAAAGCAGTTGTAATTAAGTCCTTAGTTCTGACCACCATATGGCTACATTGTTTCCCATATGACACAGTTTAATTCACCAAGGCAATTTTTCAACAAATCAGTTTCCAACAGTCAATTTATAGAAACTGATCATAGAATTCCAGCCTACTAGTTACAGCCACATGTACACCCTGCACTAAATTTAAGTGAAGACTGCTACATGGAGGCCATGCGGCCACCAGGACAAGCTACTCCCTACTTTTTTTTTTTTTTTTTTAAACATACAAGACAAAGCCTTGTGAATCAGAAGATTATTTCAACAGAGCATCTGATTCAAAAAGCTGTACAAATATACACACAGTTTCAACAGTCACACCAATCTCCTTATCACCAGCAACACATTGCGCAGTCACTAGGCCCAAACACACACACAGGATCCTCACATGCTCAACAATATCACGACGTCGCACACACGAAATTAAATCAAAAACCCACCAAAGACTATACACTTATCAATGTAACTATTATTCAAACCATACAACTATCCACGCTATTAATCCATATAAACTAACCGATCACATAACATTTCAACAGATTTCATCTCTACAATTATCTGTACTATAAATCAACTCTTGACTAACCAACTATATCACATTCTAGTAACCTCATCTTTACAGTCAGTGGTTATGGTACAGTTAGTAAGTGGTTATAATACAGTTTTAAAGTCACAGATCAGTTAGTAACAGTTATGGTATTATACATATAACATAAAACAGCAATTGTTAGTAATTTTTACACAATGTCAGTGGTTATGATACATGTCAGTAGTTATGGTACCGTGCGCTATTTTACAGTTATACACACAATTTACACTCCCACTAGACAGCAGAGCTCTAACTTTCTAGTAGGACATACAAGTTAACCAATTCACCAACTACAATATATTTAACAACATTTACAATAATCCCAACTATTCTAACTGGCCAGCACCTCGAGAGCTTTCGATCTATTTATACACCAGAGATTCGATAAGTTCTTCGCTGCCCAGACACCACGTATAGCGAACTAGAGGGCAGAATTTACACAGTACCCAGCTAGTCTATTAAACTATCAATAAGCTAGTGGCTGGATTTACAACAGAGCACACTTAGTTAAGATAGGGTGAAATCTAGCAAACTATAATATACAACAGAGTATGCTAGTCTCCCGGTCCCCCCGACCTAGCGAACAAAATTTACACCCTAGATACGCTAGTCAAGACAGGACACCGGTGTCCGACATGAGCTATTTACACCACAACTCAGTCTGACCCAAACCAATAAGTGTTGCGCTTTTCACTTCTTCCTTCTACTGAAGGGGCCAATACCAATAACCGGTTCCAAATATAAAACCCCTTGTGGGTCTACCGCTCTAACGGTATCAATCTCACCTGTTAATTACTGGACCTGGGTTCACTCATAGACGGAACAATCCGGGACTCACTGCGCAGAAGCCGATGATCTCCTGGACAAAAGGCCAGTGGCGCCGAGACGAAAGGAGGTCCACGCAGTAGAAGTCCAGGATTGTAGCGTAGAAGGTTTGGTAAAAGTTTACCGTCTCAAATCTCTGTGCCAGCTTCCATGCAATGAGGTTCCCGGCCCAATTGCACCAGAAATGTTGCAGTGTAAGCATGCAGAAGCCAAACACAGAAATATTGGACACAGGTCTTCAGGAAGTAACAGGCCTTTATTCACATTACCGATCGGGTCTCAGATGAACTCCTGTTCCAACATTCTGAGAGACCAACACATAGTGTACATTCCTTATATAGCACTATAACTCCTCCCATTAATAGCTACACCCACATATACCTTTAACCAATCAATGAGCAGACTATAGACTTGTACATCTAGTCAAACCACATGGCTCATCCAAGACAAAGGAAATAAGTGCAATTTCAGTTCCTGCATTCCTGCACATGCTCAGTACACTGATGACAGTATCCTAGCTACATGTAGCTAACCAACTGACACAACATACACATATGCCACATGGAGATTTTGGCCTACTAAATTTTAACCATGCTGGAATCCCATCACAGTTTCACCTGTTTAATTTTTCCAGACAATGACACATTTGATGTAACTCCATAAAGTGCTCTCAAGATCTCTTTCAACATATCCCTAGTTCTATGCTGCTGACCACATGTCTGTACAATCCTGACCCACAATCCATTTCCAACAACTCTCTGCAGCACTCTTTCCATATCACTAGTTGTCAAACTATACATCTCTTTCACTCTTTGAATTCCACAAAACCATTGCAAAAAGCAATTGATATCCTGCTGAGGGACCTGCCCTATTTCTCTAACTATGGCATCCATTTCTTGTGGCTTTAACTGGTAACCAGCTGAATCTCTCCAGAATTATCAGGATTCAACACTGTGGTTGTTGTAGTTGGAGCAGCAGGGAGATTTGTTATTGACTTTTGTTTCAAATCCTCCCATTGATAAAGGGGTTTGTATCCTGTATCTCCAATCCCTGGGTTAGCAATAGACCCTGGAATTTCAGATACAGGAGACCTACTCGAAGGTGCCATGCTTTCTGCCATTTTATTAAAAGCCATATTAGTAGCATGTCTGCATTCATCCAATTCTTTTTGCAACTCCAAAATTTTCTCATTCAACCTCTCATTCTCCACTGTAAGTTCCTCACATATTTTGGCCTTTTCAATTAAGGCTTCACCAGTTGTAACTGCATGCACTCTAAGATATACAATCTCATTATTCAATTTCTCAGATTTCATGTTAATTACTGAATTAAGCTCTGCCATTTCATCCTCCTTTATTTTTACAATTCCTTCTAATTTTAAACAACATGATAGTAATGCTTGCATAATACACCCTTTTCTTTTTTTATCAGAAACATTTTTATCAAATAACATTTCTCCTAAAAACTCCTGCATCTTTTCCCATGACTGTTTACAGTCCTGAGAGATTTCATAAGGACCACCATGTCTCTTAATATAATTCATAAGCCATTGTTTAACATTTTCTGAACAAGCCATTTTTGCATCTACCTTTTTCATGACATGTTAAAAATATACACTGCAGCAATAGAATAAATAACAAATATACTCACCAAGCTTTATGCAGACACTGGAAACCTCTTCTGGCTGACAGTCACCGAACCAAATACGTTGATGTTAAAACTTTGATCCTATGCAGATTCTGAAGAAAGAAATCTTCCGGCCACGATCACGGCACCAATTATGTTGTATAATCCTTCTCTCACCACCAATACTTCCAATTGCTATCCTTTTGAGAGAAATCCACTCTGCGTTGTGTATTAATAGTGAATGAAATATCCCCGCCACCTCTTCCAAGAACTAACATATATCTTTATCCCCTTGTCCAGATAAATATATGACTAGAACTACTAGAGAACGGAGCCGAGCTTTGTATCGGTCTCCCCTCTTCCCTACCCTCTGGCAGCTATCACAGGTCTGGCAATATCGTCTAACGTTCTGTGAGATGTCTGACCAAAAGAAGTTCTGGGTCAGCCTGTGCTTAGTGTGGCTGATTCCTAAGTGCCCAGACAGGGGAATATCATGGGCGATGCGTAATAGTTCCAGTCTATACTTTCGAGGCACTATTAACTGTTTAGTGGGCAAGGGTATGGAACCGGACACTACCTTTTCTGCGTGGCGGTATAGCAGCCCCTTGTTCCAGGTGTATCTTTCCCCTTCTAGTCCTGCCTGGTCTTTATCTATGCGATCTTTGTATATCTGCAGGGAGGGATCTAGGGCCACTTCAGAACCAAATTCTAGGGGGGTCGCCCAGGGCATGACAGCGGGCATGGGGAGTTCATTGCTTACCTGAGTCTCAGAGTGGTTAGGCGGAGCTGTGGTGTGGGCCTGTTGCCGGGTCACAACCGGACACGCAACCTGCAAGGTGGGTTGGGGAACAAAAGCTGAAGTCAGCTCCCCCAGGTCATTGCCCAAAATGACATCAGTGGGTAAATCCTGCATTATCCCCATCTCCACATTCCCATGCCATGCTCCCCAATTCAAATGTACTTTGGCAGTGGGTACTTTGTAAATTGCCCCCCCTGTCCCCCCTGCCACCCGTACAGCAACACAATCTCCAGTTAAATTATGTTTAGGTACCAGATGATTCCGGGTAGCCTCAGATTCGCAAAGTCCTCATACCTTTTCCCCCTCCATATGTACCTCCTGTCGGTGTCCTTGTTGGTTATCCGAGGTGGCCTGGATGGGGTTTACCTCATGTAGCACCCCCAGTGGTTCTTCCATTGGAGTGGTGGTCTCGGGTGCTCCATACTGTTCCGCTTGCACACAGTGTATGGCTGCTCGATTGCCAGCGGTTGCATTATTCCAGCTTGGCCTAGGTCGGTTGCATGGGCAGTCTAGCTGGATATGCCCCTGCTGGTTGCAGGTGTAGCAACGAATCGGAAGACATGTAGGGTACCTGGGGGTGTAGGTGTTTTGGCTTACCCCAGGTTGTGACTGGATGGTGGAGTTCACAGCTGGTATCGTTGGTGTAGGGCTATAAACTGGTCGGTTTTGTGTGCGCTGGTCCCTCCGGGTATCTAGGAACTCATCTGCCAGTTTGACGACCTCTTGCAGGGTGTGTGGTTTCCGGTCCCTTACCCAATTTTGTAGGTGGGAAGGTATCCAGTCGAAGAACTGTTCCATGACCATTAACTGGAAAAGGTCATCTAGCATGTTAACTTGGGTGGCTTCCAGCCACCCCTTTGCAGCTCGCTGCAGGCGGTGCGCTCATTCTACGTGGGTGTCTTTAGTCGGTTTCTTAACGTCCCGAAACTTTAAGCGGTATGCCTCTGAGGTAATCGCATAATGGGCTAAAATGGCTTGTTTTACTTTACCATAGTCTCTACTGTCCTCATCTGGCACAGCCCGGTACGCTTCTGCTGCACGACCGGATAATCTACCTGCTAGTAGAGGTACCTGATCCACCGCGCTGATGTCGTGTAGTTGGCACAACCTCTCAAAATCTTGCAGGTAGTCATCCACATCACCATCTGGCTACTAGGTGCTCCTGTACGTCCGCCGTCAGTCGGTCCACTATCTCCACGGAGGGGGTCTCTGGATAAAAGGCCAGTGTAATGGATCGCCTGGCACCCCGACTGGGTAACTCCATTGAAGGATGCTCCTAGCGCTTCCTGAGGACTCCAAGCACTCTGGCAGACACCACAATCACTGAACCGGAGAAACAAATAAATTCTCCCAAGCATATGAATGCTGTAGACAGTTGAATAGGAACCATACGAATAGGTTTACACTCCTAGCAGTCAAACTGGAACAGCATACAATAAATCCTCCCCCAATAAGGAGACGACACTTCACTTTGAGGGTTAAGCAGGAACTCTTGTGCTGGCACACCCAGCCTGGTTTTTATTACAGCCTTTCACATACAGGACTGCCCACAGGGAGGTATAAAACAACCAATCACATATCAGTTACATCCCACATATTCCCTCCCCTTATCCTGAGAGGAAACTCAATTACACATACAGTTAAAACATACTTTCTACCCAACTTTCATAACTTTAAAACCATACATCACATTCACATAAAATTAAATATTCACAATCAATCCAATTCAGGGGAACAACATATTAAAAAATGGCATGAATCCGACCAGGGTTCAAAAGTTAGTAAAAGTATCTTTTGGGCCCTGGCTGGCACATGGCTATCTGGCTCAAACAGGTTTTACAGAGCCCTCTATCCTGGAGACAATGGGGGAAAGTAATCCAATTATCCAGGGATAGAGGCAGACTCCATTGAGCACATGGTTGCAAAAAGACATAAAACACTTTAAAATACATAAAGTCACATTTTACACATAACACACAGACATTTCACATATCCCCAGATAGCTGGGATCTAAGCGCACAAAACTACCGAATAGCGCTCAGATCCTATTCATACAGTTCAATTGCCATGGAGCCGAAGTCTTTAACTACACGAATGGGCTCCACGGCCAGGGCCGGCCTTAGGGGTGTGCGAGCTGTGCGACCGCACAGGGCGCCATGGAACAGGGGGCGCCCTGTGGCCGACACAGCTCACTCATGGCCGGAGTGCAGGGGAGCTAAAAGAGGTACCTGGCTGGAGGATTAATTATTCTCCACCCAGGTCTATTTAAAAAAAAAAAAAAATCGCGGCAGAGGGGGCGGGGTTTACCGAGCGGCGGAGGCGGGGCTTATCGAGAGGCGGAGACGGGGCTAATACCTCCCGAAGCCCCTGCTGTACAGGAAGAGGGAAAGATGCTTCCCCATCAGCCAACTGCATCCACTGGAAAGAGGTAAGTGTGTGTGTGTGACTGTTTGCCTGTTTGTGTGACTGTCTGTGTGTGTGTGTGTGACTGTCTGTCTGTGTGACTGCCTGTCCTTGTGTGTGTGTGTGTGTGTGACTGTCTGTCTCTGTGTGTGTGTGTGACTGTCTCTGTGTGTGACTGCCTGCCTGTGTGTGACTGTCTGTCTGTGTGACTGCCTGTCATGTGTGTGACTGTCTGTCTCTGTGTGTGTGTGTGACTGTCTGTGTGTGTGACTGTCTGTCTGTCTGTGTGTGACTGCCCATGTATGTGACTGCCTGTGTGTGTGACTGTCTGTCTGTGTGACTGTCTGTCTGTGTGACTGCCCGTGTGTGTGACTGCCTGTGTGTGTGAGACTGTCTGTCTGTGTGACTGTCTGTGTGTGTGACTGTCTGTCTGTGTGTGTGACTGCCTGTGTGTGTGACTGCCTGTATGTGACTGCCTGCCTGCCTGTGTGTGTCTGTCTGTAACTATCTGTCTGTGTGTGACTGCCTGCCTGTGTGTGTGACTTTCTATCTGTGTGACTGCCTGCCTGTGTGTGTATAACTGTCTATGTGTGTGTTACTGTGTGTCTGTCTGTGTGTGTGACTGCCTATGTGACTGTCTGTCTGTGTGTGTCGCTGTAGCTGTGCCATTGTTTGTGCCTGTGCCTGTATGTGTGACTGCCTTTAACTGAGTGTGTGTGTACATGCCTGTAACCGAGTTTAAATTTCCCCCACCCCTTCCTGTCAAGGCCGCACTTTGACTGACAGACGCTCACTCACTGACAGACGCACACTCACTGACGACACATACACACTCACTGACTGACACATACACACTCACTGACTGACACATATACACTCACTGACCAACACACACATTCACTCACAGACACACACACATTCACTTACAGACACACACAATTACACACTTACAGACACACACACACACACACATTCACTTCAAAATAAACACTCACAGACACACACACAGACATTTCCACTAACACTCACAAACTAATATTTTTTACATTTATTTTAAATCCACCCAGCCTCCCTGGGAAAGCTGGAGTGGATTTCTTACCAGCAGTCCAGTGTGGCTGCTGGGCAGGCAGGCAGGGGGCGCACAGGCTGAGTAAGCAGCGCTTAGTGATGCCGGGAGCCGGACTGACGTCATATTCTGGCTCCCGGCTTCATTAAGCGGCGCAGAGGAAGCTGAGCAGGAAGAGCTCAGGTGAGTATGCTCCTTCGCTGCCCGCTGCCAGCCTTGGGGGGGCTCAAAAGTGGCCAGCCGGTCAGCTCTTGAGCCCCCCAGGATGCGAGGCAAGCAAGGGATCTGCCTGGGGGTTTGGAGGGATGCTTTTTTTTGCCGCCCCCTGCAAAGTGGCGCCCAAGGCAGATGCCTTGTTTGCCTCGTGATACACACGTCCCCGGTGCCTGTGTGTGTTACTGTATTCAGGCAACTTGGTGGGAGGTGGGGGGGGCGCCGTGAAGACTTT